ACGAATTTGTCAGCCCCAGTATTTTGCAGGAGGTGTTTTTTAAATTTTTGCCTCTATTAAGGTATTCTCTTTGACAAATATTTTATAAGACAAATCTTGTCATAGAAGTTGTCTCTGTTTATGATTATTTTATTTTTCACTAAATTTAGTGCAAAATTGTAGGCTTTCTGGAATTTTACTTTATTCATTTATTTAAAATAGGAGGAATCTTTTGATGGAACTCCTGTAATTCATTACAAAGTATAATTATAGAATTTCAAAATGAAACCCTATACTGTTTGAAACCTCCTCATTTAGTTTGTCTAGTTCCTGCCTTGTTTTTGAGGAGTACGTTTCAAAGTCTTGGCAAATTTGGTTTATAATAATTGGTATTTGCTGAAAGGTTCAAAAGCTGAAGTGTTTGTGGAACTTTATTCATTGAACTTTAACTTTTGATTAAAGATTCTCAATTGATTTTGAGCAGTGTACAACCAATTTCTAGAGGATGTGTTTTCAAAATGATTCTGTACTGAGACACTTAGGTTGTATTTATAAAGTCAGTTTTCCAATGATTTTAGTCTTTAAAATTGGATGACAGGTTGCAAGGAGGGCACACATAGTTTATTTGTTTGTTTTTTTGTTTTGTATCCAATACCATTTTTATCCTTAAAATTTTAATTGTGGATGTATAAAAACATTTGTAAATTTTGACATTCGCAGCTAACTCATTAACAGTGATGTCAGTAGAGCTCCATGATAAATAGCAATAGCTTCAAAAGTATTATGCAAACTACCTGTCTATTCATTTTTCAGAAAAATGAAAGCTGAGATTTTAATTTTGTATTAAACGTACAATTTCTTCTTTTCAGTTTATTGTTTCTGAAAGAGCTTCTTGGATAATAAAAAAAACAATTGCCAAACAACAAAATAAATAAAATAGTTTACAGAGTTATACCATACAGTAAATGATAAAACCACAAAACCACCTTAAGAGTTTTCAGACTATTGTTGACTCCTTACATATACTTCATTTGTCCCTAGCCTGTACTTTCTCACTGACTTACCCAGCTGGTGGGTGGCCTGGGGCATGTTACAGGTCTTTGTACATGTGACTGTAGTGACTGGCATAACTAATAGCCATCAGGAATACCAATGTCAAATCATTCTTCCACTATCTCACAAGGCTATGAGTCAGCAACCTCTAAGGTTGCTTGTGTCTAAGGATACTTTTCGTTGAGTCTTCTGCATGCTGTTTCTTGAAAAGAAGGTGGTAGTGATATTTTATCTGTGAAGAATTGGGAAAAGAAAGATGGAATTATTACTAGTACTCTTTCAGATTTCATCATTTTAAGATGTGGATTAAGCACTTACACTCTACTAGTTGATAGCTTGGCCAGAAGTTAGATGTATACAGTAGAGGTGTACTAAATCCATCTTGGTTTATTTTTTTGTTTGTTTTTATTTTTTTAAGTTTATTTATTTTGGGAGAAACAGAAACAGCATGAGTGGGGGAAGGGTATAGTGTGAGGGAGAGAGAGAGAATCCCAAGCAGGCTTTGCACTGTGAGCATCTAGCCTGATTCAGGGCTTGAACTCACGAACCACAAGATCATGACCTGAGCCGAAGTTGGAGGTTTAACAGACTGAGCCACCCAGGCGCCCCTCATCTTGTTTTATTTTAATATTGGCACTAATAATAATAGTTCACTTAGGAAAATGCAAAATCTGAGACAACCGGTAAACTGGATGGGATGCTGCGACAACAGGTTGTAAATCAAGACAGTCCTGAGCAAACCAGGGCGTATGGGAAGCAGCATGGTATTGTGAAAGAGCTTGGAGCTTCGAGTGGGACAGACCTGCATTTAAGTCTGGGCTCTGCCATTTAAAGCCTTGGGCGGGTTGGGGCACCTGGGTGGCTCAATTGGTTAAGCATCCAACTTTTTTTTTTTTTAATGTTTATTTTTGAGAGAGAGAGACAGAGAGAGAGCAGGGGAGGGGCACAGAGAGAGGGAGACACAGAATCTGAAGTAGGCTCCCAGCTCTGAGTTGTCAGCACAGAGCTCGATGCAGGGCTCAGATTCACAAGCTGTGAGATCATGACCTGAGCCAAAGTGGACGTTTAACCGACTGAGCCACCCAGTTACCCCAGCATCTGACTCTTGATCTCAGCTCAGGTCTTGATCTCAGGGTCGTGAGTTCAAGCCCCACCTTGGACTCCACACTGGGCATGTGAGGCCTACTTAAAAAAAAAAATAAATAAAAGCTTGGACAAGTAACCTTTCTGTGACTAGGTATGTTAGGATTCTCTAGAGAAACAGGACCAACAGGATAGACACACACATACATTCACATACACTGACTGATGGACTAGTGTTAAGGAATTGGCTTATGTAATTGTGGATGCTGGCAAGTCCTAAATTTGTAGGGCAGGCCAGCAGGCTGTGGACCCGGGGGAGAGTTGATGTTGCTGCTGAATCTAATGGCTTTCTGGAGACAGAAATACCTTCCTCAGGGGGCTTCAGTCTTTTTCGTAAGACCTTCAACTGATTGGATGAGGCCCACCCATATTAGTTTACTAAAAGTGCACTGATATAAATATTAACCACATTAAAAAATACTTTTACTGGGGTGCCTGCTCACGCTGTCTCTCTCAGAAATAAATAAAACATTTTAAAAATTAAAAAAAAAAAGAAATCAACATTCATTGAATGCCTACTTTGAGAACACATTATGCTAATAATCCTTGTGAGCCACATAGTATCATTCTAGTTTGCAAATAAGGAAATCTAGTGTGAGCCATAATATCATTCAAGTTTACAAGTGAGGAAATCTAGTAGGAAGGTTAATTGTGTGCCAATATGGCTAGGTTAGCTCAGTTGTTTGGTCAAACACCCTTCTAGATGTTACTGTGAAAGTTTTTTTTTTAATTTTTTAAATGTTTTATTTATCTCTGAGATAGAGAGAGAGCGTGAGCAAAGGAGGGTCAGAGAGAGAGGGGGATACAGAATATGAAACAGGCTCCAGGCTCTGAGCTAGCTGTCAGACAGAGCCCGACACGGGGCTCGAACACACGAACCGTGAGATCATGACCTGAGCTGAAGTCGGATGCTTAACCGACTGAGATACTCAGGCACCCCTGAATGTTGATTTCTTAATCCAGTTTCATACCCATTAAGGCTATAGGCCCAACCTTGATGCTTGAAGATTTTTTTGTGTGTTTATTTTTGTATTTCTAGCTAAACTTCTCTTGCCCCTTTATCTACTTAATAAGTCCTGAAAATTCTATCTTACAAATGTTTATTCAGACCATGCTTCTTTTCTGCCATTTCTAGTGTTCAGGTCCTCTACTAGGCCCATTAAAATTATTTCCTAAGTAGCCTTCTACTTTCCATCCTATTTTTCCCTCTTCACAAATAATCACCTAGACCTAATACTATGTTAATAACTCTTGAATCTGTCCCCGTTTTCCATTCTCATTTTGCTTACTTTTACCGTGGCATGTGAATCCCCCCCCCCTTTTTTTAATGTTTATTTATTTATTTCTGAGAAATAGAGACAGTGTGAGCAGGGGAGGGTCAGAGAGAAGGAGACACAGAATCTGAAACAGGCTCCAGGCTCTGAGCTGTCAGCACAGAGCCTGACATGGGGCTCGAACCCACGAACCGTGAGATCATGACCTGAGCCAAAGTCGGAAGCTTAACTGACTGAGCCACCCAGGCACCCCATGAATCCCTTTCTAAAAAAATTTTTTTTGACATTTATTCATTTTTGAGAGAGATAGAGTGGGAGTGGGGGAGGGGCAGAGAGAGAGACACACACAGAATCCAAAACAGGCTCCAGGCTCTGAGCCGTCAGCACAGAACCTGACATGGGACTCGAACTCACAAGAGTGGTGAGATCATGACCTGAGCCGAAGTTGGACACTCAACCGACTGAGCCACCCAGGCGCCCTGTGAACCCCTTCTTAAGTTGTCTTCTACAAAACTTCAAAATCTTACTTCCAATTCCTGTCACCATTCAGAACTCCTTAATGTTCTTTTTAAATGTAACTGAGCTTTCTGTTGATTGCACATCCTTACCTCTGAATAGAATCACCCTCTCACCTTCCCCATTTTTCAAATTCCTGCACTGATGTCACTTCAATGAACACTTCTTGGACTCCCTTCCTGGTTCCAGAACATCTACACAGTCATGTACAGGTGAACTTGAGCCTTCAGACATTGATACTTCTAATTTGCCTTTGAGATGAGAATAGTAAATCTGTTAATTAGCAGACCAGAGAACCCTTTGAACTGTGGTATGAATTGAATGGCACTGCTTGCCTACAAGCATTTGAGGTCTGATGATATAAACATTATCTTTTTGTACATCTGTGTATTCATTTGATTGTTTTATTGAAGTGGTTTTTGAGTTGTATTCATAGGGACCTTGGACACTTGGGTGGAGGACAAATGCCAAAGATTTTGGGCCTTCCAACTATCTTAAACCAAAGTATTTCACCCCTAATTTGTTATATGTTGGGTTTCTGGTAAAATTTTACATGAGGAAAAGTTTTTATGTCAAAAATAATTAAAAATAATTTTAAAAGTATTTTATTTTTTGTCTACTTGATTCTCTTTTTTTTTAGTTTATCTATTTTGGGAAGTGGTAAAGAGAGACAGGGAAGGGGGGGAGAGAGAGAGAATCCCAAGCAGGCTCCTCACTGTAAGCACAGAGCCCAGCGTGGGGCTTGAACCTACAAACCCTGAGATCATGGCCAGAGCTGGTCAGATGCTTAACTGACTGAGCCACCCAGGCACCGTTCTACTTGACTCTAGTTGATTCTTAATACTCTATATGGCTGCCTTTATTCACTTTCCCTCCCCCCTCAAAAGAAACAAAACCAAACTTTTTGAAATCAAGGATATTTTCATCTTATTCACTTTATCTCTCAAATATCTGTTGAGTGAATGCAAATATACTAATACAAATTATTGAATAGCATTTTATTTATTTATTCATTCATTCATTTATTTATTTTAGTTATCAAGTGGGAATCCTGTATATGAAAAATACTACAGACAGGTAAGATTTTGGTTTCTTTGTTTTTCTAAATTGAACATAAAAGATACATTCAGTTATTGATTGTATATTTGCAGATTACCAGCCATCTGAACACATTTGACATATCTTATTTTCAGTTTCTTGTGCTTTAACCTTCTGTTTTGAGTGCTTAATAATTTTGACGAGTTACCAGAAAAATGAAGGAAAGAGATAATTAAGTCCAAACACTTATTTGTCTCAAATATTTTTCTATCCACATAACATATAACATGAGCTATATGTTATAAAATCCATAAAACATTAGATATATTCATCCAGATATAAATATCCAAATTAATTATAAGCCAAATAGAAATAACTTTTATGTTGTTTTTAAGACTTACTGAACTTTAATTTTCACAGAGTTAAAACAATGACTCTCATACAAATATAAAATGAACATGTGGCAAAGATTTTATTTACATCATTAACTACTAGGAGAATCAGTAAGATATAAAAATGAGAATATGAACTGTAGAGATTTATATTCTCCACAATACAAAATTCATGTATTGGTATGGGCAGGAATCATTGCATTGCTATCAGTTTTCTATAATTTAACCTCTATCCCTGCATAGTGTAATAAGAGGCTAGTCAATAGAAAGTAAATCAGGGGTGCATACATCAGATAATCTCTTGAGGGTGTAGACAGTCTCATTTGGCCATTTCCAAATATTAGGTCATTTTTTCTAAAAATCTCCTCACCTGTGATCATGATTACAGAAAAGGCTATCATTTGACCTATTTACATAATTACAGCAAGTTTATTAAAGAACCATTATAAGTCTCCTTTGGTGTGACTTGCAAATCTACAGCCATACATTCACTATTTAACAACTTCTGAGCCTGGAAACTTATTTTCTGCCTGAATCTTGGGTTGTACTCGATTTTTCTTCTATCTTGAGAGTAGAACCCAAACCCTAGAAATTCTTTCCCTCATATTTCACCTGTAGTACATAAGAATTTGAATGAATTTATCTGTTTTTTTTTTTTTAAGTTTATTTATTTTGAGAGAGAGAGAGAGAGAGAGCACGCGCACGCGCAAGAATCCCAAGCAGGATCCACACTATCAGAGTGGAGCCCGAAGTGAGGCTCAAACTTACAAACTATGAGATCATGACTTGAGCCAAAACCAAGAGTCAGATGCTTAACTCACTCAGCCACCCAGGCGCCCCTGAATTTATCTCATCTTAAGGTTTCCCCTGTTTGCTACGGTTCCTAGCCTGCTAAGTGACCTTGCTATACCTCTGAGACTGGGGCCTTAGAAACTGGGTTGCAGGCCAGTTTTCTTGGGAGGGCTTTCTAGACATTGGCTCTATGTAGAGTCTGTCCTTGTTCCTTGTTAGTGGCTTATTTTTTCTGAATAAAAGAGAATTATTCTAAATAGGCCTTATACTGTGCAGTTGATTTTCTGAACTATATCCTGATAAAAGGGAGAAAAAAATTGTTATTATCCTGTTAAGAAACTATGTTGCTATAAAAATAAAGACTTCCCACTGAAAGATTTGTTTTTGAATTCTGAAGGGTCAGTGAGATTCAGATACCACTGAAGACTATTTCATTCAGTTTACAAAAGCAGAGCATACTAAATCAAGAATTAAAGATAGTCTAAGAAGAAACAAGAAAGGGATTTTCCAGCTATTATTAGAAAATAGAATATTAAAAATAATATCAATAGTATTCCAAATTAATAACCATAATTAAATATTCCTCAACAATTCATTCAATCCTGTGTAATTAATTTTTTTCTTTCCCCGTGTCTTGGATCAGGAGTCTGTTTTCATGAAGCATATCTACTTCCGGAGTACATAGTCCTTGAAAATTCAGACTTAGTCCATCTACCATTACAGTTTGAGAATTAGTCTAAGTGATGTCAGCTCAGAAATCTTTATCCCAAAGTCTATAATTTGAAGTGTTAATAATTCAGAGTATGTGTGATAGTTCCTTCTATGAGACTCTGAGACTCTTTTTGGTGAAAACACAGATTCTAGCCTATAGCTTATGGCAGAGACTTTGGGTAAGCATCAGAGTACAACAGAAACTCCTGAGATGACAGAGACTAAATGGCTGTGTTTAATTTATTATAGTAACCAAATGAATGGAAGACAGTAAAATTGGAATATGATACATAAATATCTCATAAGAGATTGATCAGTGTTTCCTCTGACAGCCTCTCTACTTAGGTCATGCTAGGGATAGATGTTTCCATTCCCCCCCAACACTGGTTAGGGAGTAGGCAAAGAAGGGAGTTCTGGAGAATTTAGAGGCAGGTTTCTCAACCCTTTTTGTACTTCCTTGTTACCCTAAATTTGGATTGGGCAGTTCTTTTTTTTTTTTTTTGCGGAGTGCCTGATTTATCCCATATTCCAGCACTTGAAAGAAAGGATTTCTTTTTTGCCTTTTTGCTAGGATTGACCTGTCTGGAATGCTTTGTATGTGTTTACAACAAACTTAATCTTTTAACTAAACTGGAAAAATAGCTCACAAATATCCTTGTATCATGTTACCTTTCCCCAGGACTTTTTAAAAAATTTACTTTTCGTTTTTACAAACAGAATTTTACTTTAGGAAATCCTAACAGAAGTGAGAGTCATTTTTTTGAACTTTCTTTCTGTTCTTGGTGACGTTACTCTGTTTTACAAGAAAGTCCCCGTCAATTAAAATGATGTGTTTCCCTCAATGTGCTTTGGGGGTTAATAATTTTAAAAATATTTCTTTAAGTTTGTTATGGAATTACTGCTGGTTTTAGAGCTGATACTGCTTTGATTTTTTTAAGTGTTGCAGTTTCTAAGAGTAAGTATGAAAGCAGAAGTTGATGATTTAAAGATGTTTGAAAGAACAGATAACATATACAGCTATTCCCTTTTGCCAAAAGATCTCTCCAGGAAATGGTGCCCTTTCCCTCTTATTACTATTTAAGTTTATTAGAATTTAAATGGTAACTACAGAAGACTTGGAGTCAGAAGTTATATGTTAATGTTATGCCTTCATTAATTTTGCTGTGTTTCCTCTGAGCTTCAGTTTTCTCATTTGTATAACAGGCGTGATAAAAAACTTTTTGTAAATTGCCAGTGCTGTTGAGATGTGTCAACTCTACTCATGTGGCTCTCCATGTATTTTTTGGCTTTTGTTAGTCAAAGGATTCCTGTTCCCTTTTGGAAAAAACCAGTTCCCAAGTCCCAGGGACAAAGGCAGGTAAATAATGATAATTTTGTCTTTGTGGTTGTCCTTAGCTTATGGTTTGTATCTTTTCAGGTTGATACAGGCAATACTGGAAGGGTATTGGCTTCTGATGCTGCTGTTTTCCTGAAAAGATCAGGGCTTCCAGACTTGATACTTGGAAAGGTAGTATTTGTTCATTTTAACTATATTATAATGAGTATTTATTTAGTAGTATATTATAAATTGGATGCAAATTTAGATACCATTGAGAAACTTAGAAGTTAGAATTGAATCATTGAAGCAGTTACAGTAATGCAATGCAGGGAATTTGTGGTGCAGTGATTTACCCTTTTGAAAAGTAAGGTGTTTTTCAGATATTTAGAAAACCAATTGCTTTTTAGTAGGATGAAATGGGGAAGTAATAGTACATTTGGGTATTGTGGGGAGAAACCGTGCAGACTGGGAACCTTGCCACCCACTCAGAGAGTTGGCTCTATCCTTACTTCCTCTATTATAACTGACTCTAACTGTGTTTAATATGTGGTAAATAGAGTTGGGAATCAGAGGCCTAGAAAAGAGCACAAAGATATGGAAAGTCCCTCTCCTGGCTAGATCTCCTGGTGAATTCTTATACATGATAAGTATTCAAAACCCTGAAAAATAACTTTTTAATAATTTAACTATTCGCAAATAAACATGAACTATTTCAACTTGCCTCTAAGGAAGAATATCATCTTAGTATGGATCTAAAGTACATTCTAGTAGAAGGAACATCAGATTTGGAGTTAGAAGCTGGGTTAATGAAAAAGTCATTGGATTTGGAAATTAGAACCTGGCTTTCAGTTCTTTCCCTGATGCTTTAAATATTCTTCAGTAAGTATCTCACTGGACCTTAGTATATTTGTGTAAGGTTGAACTAAATGACCTTTAAGGTTTCTTTCCACTTTTATTTCTGTGATTCTTAAATCTGACAACCAAAGAACATGAAGTTGTAAATTTATCTTTAAGATGATTTTTGTTTAAAATATAGATTGATTTTTTTTTTTCTGAATTTCAGATTTGGGATTTAGCTGACACAAATGGCAAAGGAATTCTGAACAAACAAGTAAGAATCAGAAATTCATATGAAAAAATTTTTGAGTGCTTCAGAATAAAAACTAACCAGGTTTTTTTCTAATTTTAAACTAGGAATTGTTTTGTTTTGTTTACCAACATTATGGTTTTACAAGGGCAGATGTTATAACAATGAAAACATTTCCAATTCAGCAAACATTAAAGTAAATAATTCCCAAAGGTTAGTGTTAATTTGGTGATATTCTTCTTCTGGAATGTCTTAGTCTGTTTGGGCTTCTTTAATGTGATACCGCAGACTGGATGGCTTATAAACAGCAGAAATTTACTGCACAGAGATCTGGAGGCTGGAGGTACAAGATCAAGCTGCACCATGGTTGGGTGAGGACTGCCTTCCTGGTTGTAGACATCTTGTTGTATCCATCCTTATGTGACAGAAGGGGTAGGGATCTCTCTGGACCCTCTTTTATATAGCACTAATCCCATTCATGAGGACACCACCCTGATGCCTTAAGCAGTCTCTTAAAGGCCCTACGTCCTAATACCATATCTTTGGAGGTTAGGATTTCAACATATTCAATTTCCTGCTTGTAAAGTAGACTTCCTTGTGCGTATTCTGGTCTAGGTCTTACTTCTGGCATATAAACCAAAAATGTTTTACAGGCCTTAAGTAAACCCTAGACAAGAAATACATGAAACTGATTATGGGTATTGGACACCATCAGTGTAGTTTGAAATTCAGCTTGTTGTGAATGGATTTCAGAGTTCTACGGGACTGAATTCAAAGCTTGCTGCATGCTGAAACATTGGTTGAGCACTGATACTCAAGGTTAATTCCCTCATATGGGATAGTTGAAGCAGCATCAAACTCAGAAAAGGGATGAGAAATTTAGATGAGAGGGTCAGAATATCCACTCTCTTCATTAAGATTCCAGGACTGGATTGTAGCCCCCTTTGGGGCCCCTGGGCAGAAGGGCCAGTTTGTACATTGAAGACATAGGAAAACTAACTTCATATAGGCATCTGGGGTGATGTACACTGAGTAGGCAAGTATTTGTTGAGTACCTGTTTTGAGCCAGGCTTTGGACTTTGGAAGTTGAGTTTGAGTTGAATTTGTTATATCTAGTTGGCTGGATTTGTGGGTCTGCATTTAAACTTTGATATTTGCATTGGAGAATAGATTTTTTAAAAAATTTTTTAACCCTTTTTTTTTTTTGAGAGACAGAGACAGAATGTGAGTGTGAGTAGGGGCAGAGAGAGAGGGAGACACAGAATCTGAAGCAGGCTCCCAGCTGTCAGCAGAGAGCCTGATGGCGGGGCTCGAACTCATGAACTGCGAGATCATGACTTGAGCCAAAGTTGGTTGCTTAACTGACTGAGCCCGCCAGGTGCCCCAAAATAGATTTCTGAGTTAGTATGAAAGAAAGGAAAGAAACCAATATTTATTGAGTTTCGATGTGCTCAAAATGACAGTAGGTGCTTCCTATAATATGGCTTTTATTTTTTTTCCTCATAAGGCATTCCAAGATAGGTATTAGTCCCTCCTTTTATAGAAAAATTTTATTTAACTTGCCTTTGGCCTCACAACTTGAAGTAGCAGAACTAGAATTTAATGCAGTATTATTTCACTTCAGAGCCCATTGATACTATGGAGAGCTGAAAGAGTAATTGAATCTCTCATAGAATGAGAAGGGAAAGAGAGTTGATACTAGAGTACTTAGAATACCAGCATTTAAAAGTTGGAGGAGACGTTGACTCTAAGAGAAGACACTGGAAAGGTCAGAGGAAAGCTGGGAGAGCTTTATGAAGCTTTGTTGATGGAGAAGAGTTTCTGGGAGTTATTCTTGCTGTCCGGACTGCCAAAAGGACAAGCAGGATGAGGTGGGAGGTTTTGTGCTTTGTTTTGTTTTGTTTTGTTTTGTTTTGAGGCTATTGTATTTGATACCTAGGTTATTTGTGACATAGGTGGTAGTTTCTCTAGCTAATGGTGAGAATTGAAGTCAGATTGCATAAAAGCTTATGGAGTGAATGAAAAAGGAAGGGAGATCTTGAAATACCATCTTTTAAAGAAATTTGTAAAAAAAAATTTGTGAGTAAAGGCAAGGTATTATATTAAATAGACAACCTGCAAGTTTCTAAAAATAAGTTAGGAATTGGGTAAGAAATGTATAGGTGAGACTAGGAGGTTTGAGAAAGTAGTGAAGGGTTGATTATCAGCATTTGTACAAAGTTGCAAGTAATTATAACTGGAGTAAAGGCTTTTGTTATGTCTAGTTCCAGATCGGACTTTAACTCAGAACAGCTGCAAACCAATTGCTTCAGCATATCTGCATTTACTTATTAAATTTTGGACTGAGTCTTCAAAATGCCAAAAATCCAAGGACTGTCGGGAGAGATTTACAAGTATTTTGAAGTCAAGCAGTTAATGTAGTTGTTTTAGATGCTGCATAGTAGCGCTGTATTCTCATAGCTTTCCTGGAATAGTAGTGGTTGAGTCACTTGAATGATTGGTCTAGCTTCACAGTTTATCATCTTAAATCTAGAGGTGATTTTTGATAGCATACAACTGTTATTTTCTTCTAGGTTCTTTTTCACTTTTTTTTTCTCACTTAAATGATAAAAATTATTTTTAGCATCATTAAATATTCTTTGAAGCATGTTTGTTAATTTTGTATAATTTCCACTCTGTATATCACAGTTTACTTAAGCATTTTCCCATTTATATTAACACTTATTGCTATTTATTATGTCAGGAACATCTTTGTACAAAGATCTCTTCTTAATTTTAAAGCAAATGTTTTCAGGCAAATGTGCTATTATATTTATTGTTACATAAAAATCTTGGGAGTAATTGTGAAGTGTTTTATATTTTCAGGTTGTAAGTATATAGATGGATGGATGGATAGATAATGCATTTAACTTCATACTTTTCGTTCTCAGGAATTCTTTGTTGCTTTGCGTCTTGTGGCATGTGCCCAGAATGGATTGGAGGTTTCACTGAGCAGCTTGAATCTGGCTGTTCCTCCACCGAGATTTGTAAGAAATAATTTTAAATTTAAATTGTATTTAATTTAACAAATGATATCACATGACTTAAAAATTAAAATTGCTTTATCAAAAAAAATTCCCCTAGACCCTGTCACTCAGCTACTTGATTTTCTTTTTCTTTTTTTTCTTTATATTTTCTTTATTTCTGAGAGAGAGACAGCATGAGCAAGGGAGGGTTAGAGAGAGAGGGAGACACAGAATCTGAAACAGGCTCCAGGCTCTGAGCTAGCTGTCAGCACAGAGCCCAACGCGGGGCTCGAACCCATGAACCATGAGATCATGACCTGAGCCAAAGTCAGACACTTAACTGACTGAGCCACTCAGGCACCCCAGATTTTCTTTTAATGGCTCCGGCTGTTACTAGGTTCTTATGTTTCCTTCCAGAGTTATTATGTGTGTATATAAGGAAATATAAATACCCATTTTCTCATTTTACACTGTAGCTTACAATTAATAAACATGATTCTATACCTTTTTAGATAATATATTTTAGGGATCTTTACATAAAAGCATTTTCATTGTTTTTTAGAGCTTCCTTGCTTCTGTTTACCATAATTAACATACAGTGTAACATTAGTTTCAGGTGTACAATATAGTGATTCAGCAGTCCATATAACACCTGGTGCTCATCACAGCTAGTGCACTCCTTATTATAATAGTCCCCACCATCTATTTAACCCATTCCCCACACACTTCCCCTCTACCATGATTTAACTTTCTATTGATGGGCTTTAACTTGTTTCTAATCTTTTATTATTAAAAAATGCTGCAATGAATAGTAACCTTGGATATATGTCATTTTACATGTGCAGAAATATATATGTACATATTCTCGGAAGTGGAATGGCTATTTCAGAAGTTTTTGCATTTTTGCAATTTTCACAGATAATAATATCAACTTGTCTTCCATAGTGGTTGTACTTGTTCACACTTGTACCATCAGTTGGTTGAGAGGTGACAAATGGAATGTTAAGTGTTGTTTTAATTTGTCCATTTGGTTTTATGGAGTGAGTTTGAATAGTTTTCCTCGTGCTTATGAGCCATTTACATTACTTTTATGTGAAATGTCTGTTTAAATCTCTTACCCATCTTTTGCTCATTTTTCTTGGGTTGTTGGACTTTTTATTAATTGAATTCTGCAAGATATATATATATATGTGTGTGTGTATGTATGTATATATACATGCATACATTTATTATTTATATATAAATATATTAAAATATATATATATTTTTTCTTTCCTAGTTTGTCATTTGTCTTTTTGACATTGTGGTATTTTTTTCCATAAAGAAACCATTGTTTTTTTATGTAAATGAGTTATTAGGCTTTAATTTTTTATGGTTTCTTTTTCACATTTATGTTAGTGTTGATAAAAAGTGTGAGTATGGATTCAAATTTATGTCTTTTTTAAGATGGCTACCTTGTAGACCTAATACAGTTTATTGAATAACCAGTCTTTTCCTTACTGATTTGAAATGCCATCTCACGGGACACTTGGGTGGCTTAGTCGGTTAAGCGTCCGACTTTTGATTTTGGCTCAGGTCATGATCTCACGGTTCATGGGTTCAAGCCCCAAATTGGGCTCTGTACTGGCAGAGTGTGGAGCCTGCTTGGGATTCTTTCTCTCTCCCTCTCTCTCTGCCCTTCCTCTGCTCGTGCTTTCTCTCTCCCAAAATAAATAAATAAATAAACTTTAAAAAAATGAAATGCAACCTCAGTCATGTGCTGAATTCTCATATGTATTTTGGTTTCTTTCTGGAATTGTTTGCTGTTAACCATTTATCTATTTATCCATGTGCTTATCTCACATTATTTTAATTATCATGTTTGGTGATTTGTTTTATGTCTCATAGGGCTAGTTTTCCCCTGACCCCCCTTTTCAGAAGTTTCATGGCTTTTATTTGTTTTTGTTTTTTTTTAAATATTTTTATTTATTTCTAGAGAGAGAGAGACAGCGTGAGCAGGGGAGGGTCAGAGAGAGAGGGAGGTACAGACTCCGAAACAGGCTCCAGGCTCTGAGCTGGCAGTCAGCACAGAGCCCGACGCGGGTCTTGAACCCACGAATCACGAGATCATGACCTAAGCGAAAGTCGGACGCTTAACCGACTAAGCCACCCAGGCGCCCCATGTTTTTAACTTTAATATTTTAAAAGTATTTTGTCTGAGTATTATGCTTAACCGACTGAGCCACCCAGGCACCCCTACTTGTCTGAGTATTATGAATCTAACTTCAGTTTTGAGAATTTCTGCACTTACAAGTTTAGGCATGGAATCAGAGGGTTAATTTAAGGATTTGTTGTCTATCTATATCATTATAAAAATGTCTCATATATATCCATCTGTCTCTAGAATCAGATAAATATAACAACTTGGGTGTGCTGTTCATAGGTTCATGTACTTGTAACTTAAGAAATCTTAAGTTGGGTTCTTGTCCCAGTCTGCTTTCCTTAAATAGTGTTGGGAAAAAGTCATGAGTTAACAGAGCCACAAATATTTTTGTTACATTCAGATATCTTTATCTTGATGTCAGTTGTAATAAGATTTCTTCTGTAACACTTAAATGTTTTAGTTAATGCTGTAATATTTATGTAGCTAATTCAGATAACTCCATTTTTGTTTCATTTGTGCTTAGGTGAAGGTCTAATGGAGTCAATGTAAAATAGTGAAAATAGTGTTCTGTGTCCATTGAATTCCAAATTTTGTCTGAATGTCTTTAAATCCAAAGACCACTTTTTCTTCATAGTTTGTTTTTTAATTTTTTTTTTTTTTTAAAGAATAGTTTTTTTTTATTTATTTTTTTAATGTTTTTTTATTTATTTCTAGGAGAGAGAGAGAGACAGCGTGAGCAGGGGAGGATCAGAGAGAGAGGGAGTCACAGACTGAAACAGGCTCCAGGCTCTGAGCTGGCAGTCAGCACAGAGCCCGACGCGGGGCTCGAACCCACGAACTGCGAGATCATGACCTAAGCGAAAGTCGGACGCTTAACCGACTAAGCCACCCAGGCGCCCCTGTTTTTTAATTTTTAAAAAATTTCTTAATGTTTATTTTTGAGAGGAAGAGAGAGCATGAGTGGGAAAGGGGTAAAGAGAGAGGGAGACACAGAATCTGAAGCAGACTCCAGGCTCTGAGTTGTCAGCACAGAGCCTGATGTGGGGCTTGAACCCATGAACTGTGAGATCATGCCCTGAGCTGAAGTTGGGTGCTCAATCGACCAGGCCACCCAGGTGCCCCTCTTTTTGTTTACTGATGTGAGGTTTTTAATCCTTCATTGTGCTGTATTTTTCTTTTTAGCATGATACCAGTAGTCCCTTGCTAGTCAGTGGAACCTCTGTAGCTGAGATCCCATGGGCTGTAAAAGTAAGTAAACTTTGTAACTGCCCTTCCCTTTTCACAGCTTTGCTTCCTACCCACATAATCTTTGCTTCCAAAATACACTGTAGTCTGCATTAGGCTCTCACTACTGTAGGGGAGATACTGGTACTAGAAATCTTTTGAGGGATCTTACTACTTTGTCAATTATTTTGTGACAATTAGGATGGCTTAATCTCATTTCTGTTATAATGTAAACTAAGAATGGTGATGTCATAATCCTGCATTAATTAAAATATTTTACGAATAGGTTGTTTACCCCACTGATAGTATTTCCTGTTTGAAAATTATGGTTAAGTAGGTATTTTCTTTATGGCTCTAAAACAAACAATTCTTTATGTAATCTTTTTCTGAAATGGGTATTTTGCATTATAGCTCTTTGGAGACATCACACTAGTTATAGCTATCTTATCAGATTTTTAAAATTATAATTTTAAAATAATATTAGAATATAGCACATCACATGGCCTTTAATAAATATGTACAGTTTTGTCAGCCATTTGATTTGTATGTCTATGTATGTTTGTGTGTTATTAACTAGTTTTGAAAAGTGTAGAGATCTGGCTTTGATGGGACAAATCACAAACAGTTTTTTATGTATACAAATAACTTCCCAGGATTTTAGGGAATGTCTTGTTATTGATAAAAGCAAATCTAGCTTTGTGAAAAAAAAAGGGGGAAACTGATGTTTACTCCTATGGCAGTTATTTTGTTTTTAAAATCTGAGTTTGAAATGTAATGCCATTTTGAAAAAGTCCTAGAATGTCACTAACTAGATTGTGTGTTCTCATAAAAGTTACTTCCTTGCTGTGGGTTTAAGTGAGATGGTTGGACTAGAAACTCTTCTCAAAGCCCTTCTTGTCATTAAAATCTTTTGATTAAGCTAATAGTAGAAAAGCAAACAGCATTTCAGCTGCAAAAGGAATGGAAGCGGTAATGGACTTTTGAGTAACTTTTAAATTGTTATTTATAATAATATATTTTGATGAAAGTAAAAAATGTTTTTAAAACAATTTTTAGGAATATGTTGTCTATTCTTTGAGAATTTGATTTTTTTAATTGCAGTTCAATCCTTTTCACCACTATTTAACTTGTGATTTTTCTTATAGTCTGAAGATAAGGCCAAATATGATGCAATTTTTGATAGTTTAAGCCCAGTAAATGGATTTCTTTCTGGTGATAAAGTGAAACCAGTGTTGCTCAACTCTAAGTTACCTGTGGATATCCTTGGAAGAGTAAGATATTATTAATTCTAAATGTAATTTTTATGTATCCTACTTTTGTATCTACCAGGAACTTGTTGCTAAAAATATATAGATCTTATTTTGAAGTTATGTGTTACTACAGAATTTTTTGTGTCCTGACTTCATATATAAAACTATTGCCAGTTAATTTTGTACAATAATTTGGTTATCTCTCTAAAATATGAGTGCTTGAAATTAGTTATATATGTAAATCCTTTGCATAGGTCCTTTTTCCGTTGTGCTGTATGCTCTGACTTCCTAGTCCTTGATTTAATTTCTGGAGACAATCAGTATTTTCTGTCTGTCACCTACTTCATGGCTGTATCGTGGGACCTTGTCATAAGGAATAGTTTCATCTCTGAAATCATTAATTCTACTCTCTAAATAGAACTTCTCACCCTTCTAGATCTTTTTCATAAATACTTGCAAGACTAATTCTTTGACTTCACAAGATCTTTAAATCTCAGAGTCCTTTACTTTCCCCATTTTTCAAGTTTACTTCTTTCTTCATCCATCTTGATCCAGTGTCATGTTGGTATCTTTAGCTCCCTTTGCCATGTTTCCTAACCTTTCACCTGACCTGGTAAAAATCCAACTTTGTGTGAAGCTAATTATGTGCCTTCTCTGTGGTTGCAAGTAGACTACTGAGACTCTAATAAGATTGGTGTCATCATAATTTCTTGATCACCAACTTCAGGTGGGCCTTCCCAGCTCTTATACTGTTTCCAGAGTAATTTCTGTCTATGCCTCTTTGTATTTCAGACTTCATCTACTCTCATTAAACCTCTAGCCATTTCTTTAATCCCTTGGTTAGTCAGAATGCAAAGGGTCAGATGCTGGCTGTATCATTTCTTAGGTGTGTGACCTTGGGTAAATTATAAGAAAACCCTGTCTCAGTTTTTTAATCTTTAAAATGAGCATGATTCCCAGTTTATAGGGCTGTAAGGATTAAACGTGAGAATGTATCTATTAAGCCCAGTGCTTGGTACATATTCTTTGATGCTAGCTGCCATGATGCTGATGGTGATAATGACTTACCACCACACCACCAGTAGGAGTACTAGTGGATCAGTGTTGTGTATTGTATAGGTTAGGTGCTCAATAAATAATAATTTAAAAGCCATTTTCCAATATTATTTCTCACTAGTCATTTCTCCACTGTGTGGTCGTGGTCAGTGTGAGATTTCTAAACTATAAATATAATCCTATTATTTTTTGCCTTAAAACTAACCCTCTCAGTAGCTTCCCATTGCATTTAGGATACAGTCCTGATTCCTTTCAAGGCACTTAATGACCAAACACTTGCTTATCTCCATTCCTGTCTCTTACCAATATACTCTCTCTTCTTGCCCTGAGTAAAGTTTTGTTAAATGACTTAAATATCTTCTTTTCAAGGATTTAACAAAAAGTTTTATACCTAGTCTAAAACTATGGAATCTACTCTAGATTTAACCAAATCCACTAGGGCCTTTTAGATTTTATTTGTCCTTTGTAAGCCCTGGACATTAGCTGGTTAATAATTAACAATATTCATTGGATCTTTATTTTAGCTCATCAGAGGTTCTGTAGTGTATGGAAAACAATAATGGTCTTAGTAGGGAATCTTCATGTTGAAAACTGATTCTGTAACTTAATAATAGTTGCATAATCCTAGCAAAGTCATATCACATCATGTCTAATAAGAGGTTGATAGACCACATGCAGTTGCATGAATTAACCAAGATAATTTTGTGAAAAAGCATTGTAGCTGTTTAAAGTGCCATGTCCATAATTGTTTTCTTGAGATGAACAAACTATTTTTGTTGTTGTTAAAGTTTATTTACTTATTTTGAGAGAGACAGACACAGCGTGAGTGGGGAAGGGGCAGAGAGAGGGAGAGAGAGAAGATCCTAAGCAGCCTCCATGCTACCAGCGCAGAGCCCTACACAGGGCTCAAACTCATGAAACTGTGAGATCATGACCTGAGCCAAAACCGAGTCAGACACCTAACCAGCTAAGCTACCCAAGTGCCTCCAAAATATTTTCTTTAAAATTTTGTAAGGAATTTTTATTTTAAAAAAGACCTGTAATAAGAATTATTACTTTGGGGCATCTGGGTGGCTCAGTCGGTTAAGCATCTGACTCTTGATGTCAGCTTAGGTCATGTCCTCATGGTTCCTGGGATGGAGTCCTGCATTGGGCTCTTTACTGACAGTGTGGAGCCTGCTTGGGATTCTCTCTCTCTCACTCTCTCTGCTCCTTCCCTGTGTACATGTGCTCTTTCTCTCTCAAAATAAATATTTAAAAAATTATTCTTTTTACAATAAATTTGTTAACATAGCATGTAATAGTGATATAATAAAATGATTAACATAAGTGAAATTTCTCCAAGAAATAAGGTATTTAATGTTAGGATGAAACTTTTCCCTGCAATTATATGTTTGGTTTTTACAGGTAGCACATGAAAGAGCGTTAATCTTTGTCAATTCTTTTTAAGGTTTGGGAGTTGAGTGACATTGACCATGATGGAATGCTTGACAGAGATGAGTTTGCAGTTGTAAGTAAATCTAATGTTCTTAAAATCTTAATGGTTTTCTCAAGTGAAAATTTCCCTGTTATTTCCCTAAAATTGTTGGTATGAGTATTTTTTCTTAGAGTTTATAGGTAGTCCATAAATATTTTGAAACAGATAGATAATAGAAAATGTATGTTCTTACCATCTTCATTTTATTTGACTTTAAGTTACATAGGATTATATGTCTTGGATAATGTACTATAATGATGCTGAGTGGTATTGATCTTTTGTATTCCATCTTAACCAGGCATCTCTCTACCTCTCTGCTATGGAATTATTTTACTTCAAACATAACCCCAGATTTTCACATTTATTAAAGGAAAACATGGATAACATAGTTTCACTGCATTTATAAAGGCAGAGAAAATTGTGATATCTTATCTGAAGACATGTTATCCTTGGAAATTGGAAGCTGATTCCAAATAGAGTTGTATTCACTTCTTCCTTAAAGGTTAGATAGAACTCTGCTGTGAGCTAATGAATAGTAAATCTCTAATCCTTCCTTTAATCTATTATTTGGAAATTGGTCTGTTTAGATTTTCTCTCTTTATTTTACTAAGAAATTGTCTATTTCTTTGACTCTTCAAATTCATTGTGAAGTTATTCTTTTAACTTCTTATGGGGTTTGTGCTACTTTGTCATTCCAAATCTTATATATTTTTGCTCCCTCCCATCTTTTGTTTAATTGAATTTTATCTGGTTTATCAGTCTTTTATTTTTTTATTTTTATTTTTTAAAAATAGTTTATTGTCAAGTTGGTTTCCATATAACACCCAGTGCTCATCCCCACAAGTGCCCTCTTCCATGCCCATCTCCTCCCTCCCCCCCACCCCCATCAGCCCTCAGTTTGTTCTCGGCATTCAAGAGTCCCTCATGGTTTGCCTCCCTCCCTCTCCCCCACTATTTTTCCCTTCTTCTCCCCCACAGTCCTCTATTAAGTTCCATCTTTTAGATTTATTTATCCTTTCTATTATGTTTTGGCTTTTTCATTCTTTTTACCTTTTATCTTAATTTCTTCTTCCTAGTAGTTTCTTTTATCTTTAAGAGTAAAAAAGTTAAATCTTGTATTTTCTTTTGAGTACAGATTTAACTGGCTTCCATAGATATTGATACAAGGTATTCTCCTTTTTACTGCTTTTTAGATAACTTTTAGGCTTTTTTTGGATGATTATGTTTAGGAATATGTTTCCCAATTTCAAAGTAGTTAAGTTTGTTTGGCTTTTAGTTCCCTTTGTATATACATTTAGCTTGATTTGATTATGCCTAGAGAATATGTTCTTTAAAACTCTACTTGAGGGGTGCCTGGGTGGCTTAGTCCGTTAAGTGTCCGACTTTCGCTTAGGTCATGATCTCGCGGTTCGTGGGTTCGAGCCCTGCGTCGGGCTCTGTGCTGACTGCCAGCTCGGAGCCTGGAGCCTGTTTCAGTCTATGACTCCCTCTGTCTCTGACCCTCCCCTGCTCACGCTCTCTCTCTCTCTCCTAGAAATAAATAAAACATTAAAAAAATTAAAAAAAAAAATAAAATAAATAAAACTCTACTTGAAAAAATTTCTTAAGGTTTTCTTTGTTGCCAAGTTCATGACCCATTTTTACGTTTGTTCCCTGGAATGTCAACATTTCTGCTCAGAAGATGTTAGACCTCCATAAATTCGTTATATCAGTTTTATTTATTATGTTTCACTGTGTCTTCAGCCTTACTTTTTTTGCCCTTTTATAAATTTTGTTCTATTTATATCCCAAGAACCTATTAAAATAGGCAGAATAATTATTTTTACATTTGAAAAAATACAGAAATGGAAACTTAAAGTGACTTGAGTTGATGGTAATAGGTCCCTAGTCTTTTTTATGTTAATTTGGGTGATAGTTGAGAAGTGGCAGGGAATACCCTCTTGCAACGGTGACAGAAGTTATCCCAGCTATATGTTAAGGGTTGAATCAATGTTTTTGTTATGTTTTGGGGAAACAAGGTAGTATATTGAAGAGATTTGGCTGATGCAATGTATTTTGAAAGACTATCAAACTATACATAACTTTTCATAGTTTTTGTGCTAAGAATGTCAACACAAAATCTTTGCACTGGTAATATGTAGAGGGACTTTTTTTTCTTACAAAGACAAAAATTAAAAATTTTCAAGAAGGATTTATATAAGCATAGTTAAGATAGATGGAGAATATATTATCCTCATTTGATTAATGGTAGTATGTACTAAGGTAAGTGGTTAAACACAGTTTATCTTAGTTACTTGAAACCTTTTACTAGGCAACTTACTCTTTTCTTAAATTAAACTTTTATTGAAAGAATAATTTAAGGGGTATCTGGGGAGCTCAATTGCTTAAGCATCCGACTTTGGTTCAGATCATGATCTCATGTGTGTGAGTTTGAGCCCCACGTCAGGCTCTGTACTGATAGTGAATGTGGAGCCTGCTTGGGATTCTCTCTCGTCCTCTCTCTGCCCCTCCTCACCTCATGCATGCACTCTTAAAATAAATAAACTTAAAAAAAGAAAGGAAAGGAAAAATAATTTAAGAATGAATGATGCATTTGTAGGAAGTTACTACTTAAAAAAATAATAAATGCCCATATGCCTTCTCTTAGATTTACTAATTTTAACCAGTTTGTACCTTTGATTTCTTTCTGTGTGCATTCCTCAGAAATTCTTTCAAATTTATCATGGTTGGTGCCTTTAACTTTGAATTCCAGCTCATGTGATATTTATACAGCCTCTGTTCTCTTTTGGTATATCTGGATTACCAGATATTTCTTATATTTAAAGTATATCTCTTGAAAACAGCACATTGCTGTGTTTTAGTTTTTTACCTAATTTGACAGTTTTTTGTCTTTTAAGATAATGATGCAGATTGATTTTATTCCCCCTGCCTTATTTATTTTACCTAATTATTTTCTCTTTTTTTCTGTTCCTTATTACTGGTTATCAAGTAGTGATTCATTCAGTTTCCCTTCTTATTAAATTAGAAATTCTGTTACAATGTCTATTCCATTAATGATTAATAACACCTATCCCTGTACTTACAATACTTATTTCTCTAGTTGTTGAAAATAAGGTCATCTTCACTCCAGTAAAACAAGTCCTTTAGATTATTTTCATTTCTTTCTTCTTCACCTCTTAATCCCAGAAGATTTGAGAACATTTTTTAAAATTCTAGATTTTACTCAGTTATTTCATTCTTTTGGTTCTTGGATTTTCCTTGTAATTTTGGCAATAGTCTCACTAGCATTCTTTTGGTAGACTTTGCTTGATAAATCTTTCTCCATCTTTTTACTTTATGAATGGGGCAACATAGTCCATACTTTTTTTTTATACTTCTCAGAATCTGTAACTTTTTTAAAAAATTGAAATAATACAAGTAACATACAGTGTTGTATGAGTTTCAGGTGTACAATATAATGATTCAACAATTCTGTATATTACTCAGTGCTCACCACAATAAGTATAGTTACCATCTGTTACCAAACAACATTATTACAATCTTTTGACTATATTCCCTATGCTGTGCTTTTCATCTCCATGACTTAATTTATTTTACAACTGGAAGTTTGTACTTCTTAATCTTCTTTATCTATTTCATAATGGGATTCTATCTCAATCCCCACCTCCCACCTCCTTTCTGGTAACCACCAGTTTGTTCTTTGTATTTAAGAATCTGTTTTCGGGGCGCCTGGGTGGCCCAGTCGGTTAAGCATCCGACTTCAGCTCAGGTCATGATCTCACGGTTCGTGGGTCTGAGCCCCGCATCAGGCTCTGTGCTGATAGCTAGCTCAGAGCCTGGAGCCTGCTTCGGATTCTTTGTCTCCCTCTCTCTCTGATTGTCCCCTGCTCATGCTGCCTTTCTCTCTCTCTCAGAAGTAAATAAAACATTAAAAAATTTTTTAAAAAAAGAATCTGTTTTCTTGTTTATTTGGCTGTCTCTGTTTTTTTCTTAAAAAAAGAAAAATTTTTTTCTTCCACCAATGAGTGAGATCATATGGTATTTGTCTTTCTCCGTCTGACTTATTTCACTTAGCATTATATTCTCTAGGCCCATTCATATTGTTGCAGATAGCAATATCTGTTTTTTGTGGTTGAGTAATCAATATTCCAGTGCATGTGTGTGTGTACCATATCTCTTTATTCATCTATTGATGGACACTTGGGTTGTTTCCATATCTTTGCCATTGTAGATACTGCTACAATAAACATGGGGGGGGGTTGCATATGTCTTTTTGAAATAGAGTTTTTGTTTCCTTTGGGAAATACCCAGTAGTGAAATTACTGGATCATATGGTATTTCTATTTTTAATTTTTTGAGGAACCTCCGTCCTATTTTCCACAGAGGTTGCACTGATTTGCATTCCCACCAGTAGTGCGTAAGGATTCCTTTTCCTCCACATCTTCACCAGCACTTGTTATTTCTTGTCTTCCTGGTTCTGGCTAGTTTGACAGGTATAAGGTGATATGTCATTGTGGTTTTGATTTGCATTTACCTGATGTCTTCCTTTACTATGTGATAGTTTCTCTGTCTTGCCTTGTTTTTCTATGACTTTGGCTATAGGCGTGTCTGAGTGGCTCACTTGTTAAGTGTACTTCTCTTGATTTCAGCTCAGGTCACGATCTCATGGTTCATGGGATTGAACTCCACATTGGGCTCTATGCTGGCAGTGTGGAGCCTGCTTGGGATTCTACCCTCCCTCCCCCCCACTCATTTTGCCCCTCCTCTGCTCATGCTCTCTCTCAGCCTCTTGCAAGAGCTCTAGATAAGTATCCCCTAGAATGTCTACCATTCTATCTAGGGTATGGGTTTTTGGAAAGAATACCACAGATGTGAAATGCCTTTCTCATCACATTTATCAGGGGGTACTTGATATACAAATGCCATTACAGGTGATGTTAACCTTCATTACTTGGTAAAGTTGGTGTTTGCCAGGTTTCTTCACTATAAAATTACTATTTTCCCCTTTCCTTACTTTATTCTTTGGAGAGGCAGACTCATACTTTTAACTTTGTGTCTTCATATTGGTTTTTACATTCTTATAAGGCTCTACGTTTTTCTGTCAAAGTAAGTGGTCTTTGTTTTTGTCAGTAGCATTTGTTGGGTCCTCATTACTTGAAGAGTTTTTTGCACTTTGAGGGTTTATTAATTGTATTTGTATTAACACGTTCACATTGTACTGAAATTAACTTGTTACATGTTTACTGCTTCTATTGGGTGGTAAATGTGAAAGAGCTTTTTTTTTTTTGTATTTCTAGTGCCTAGCACAATGTCTCATGGCTAGAAATTCTCAGTAAATATTTTGTTGAATTAAAATGATGAAGATACACTTGTTGGGATGAGCACTGTGTGTCATACGGAAACCAACTTAAAAATAAACTATGAAGGAAAAAAATAAAATAGAACACTTTTAAAAAAATAAATAAAATGATGAAGAAAACTTGTATTATTTGTAATACACAATAAATGTCTGATATTTTCATCCCAGAATGCTATTTTAAGAAATTAAAACCTGGCAGTTTAAGTGATTGAGTAGACAAATGAGCAAATAAAACTCTTAAGATACCTATAAAATACTGCTTCTCGAAGTATGGTCTCCCGTCAGCAAAATCAACATTACCAAATAACTTATTAGAAATGTATATTCTTTAGCCTTACCCCAGACCAACTGAATCATAATCTCTGGGGTAGGGCCAAAGAAGCCCTACCAGGGATCCTGATGGCCAATAAAATTTGACAAATATTCCCTAAAAGCACAGAGGAAAAAAAAAGGCAAAGAAAGTGAGGAACAGCTCCTGGTAATTGACTGCAACAGTAAAACTAAATCCCCTCTTTCCTGTTATCACTGAGAGAGTTTAGGCTTGTTTTGGACAGATCCATCCTTCGTTCATTCGTTCATTCGTTCGTTTGTTTGTTCCTTTCTTTTTGTGAGTATGGTGTATCATTTGATTTAGTTGCTGTATTTGTTTCAATGGCAATCTTTGATTAGGATGAAGTATAATGTAAAAAAAAAATTGCAAGCCACCATTATACTGTTCACTTTTTCTGTTTTATTTGGTAGAAAAATTTTTGGCTTTAGTTTTATAAGGAAAACTATTTTCAAGGCAACATGAAATTAATGATACATTTTTTTTTAACTTTAAAAAAATGTGTTGTCTATTGGCAGCAGATAGCTGACATAGCTTTTTTGCTTCTAGTGTCTACTTTTTCCAGGAAATGACTCCCATCTGCAGCAAGAGGAATGCTGACCTTTAATGTGCATGTTAGTCACTTCTTTTAGCTTAGTGCCAATTTAATAATATTACATACACATTTTGTGAATTTGGTTGAAAGTATGTGCTAGTCAGATTGTTTTCACTCTGGATTTTCAAGCTTTTGAAGATAATAAAGTTTGTGTGTTTCTAAAACTAAAATTGAATTCTTCTAGTTGACTAGTGAATGGGGAGAGGAAGAGCTCTTCGTTTGGGTCAAACAGTTAAATGTGGTCCCGGGACAAAGAGTGTCAGCATCCTTGGAAACTTCTTAGCAATGTAAAATATTGGGCCCAACCCAGACTTAATGACTGTAGAATTCTGGGAGTGGAGCCCAGAAATCTGTGATTTATAAAGTTGTCCAGGTAATTCTACAATTTGGATCCCAAATTGTACAATTGGGTCCCAGAAGGGTGAAAGTTTAGTTTTATCCCCTGTAGAGGAAAGCATGGTATTATAAAATTAGATGTGTGCTCATAATGCAGCTGATCAAATCTGGGGAAAACGAGAGCTTTGTAGCCAGGCCTTGCTTTGAGCCCTGTACTATCACTTCTTAAAAAATATCAGGCGAGTTGCTTAGCATCTCTGAGCTTCAGTTTCTTCATATGGTAATCACATACTGGTAATCACAAATCATGGATCAGTGTTATTATTAGGCATTCAATAAATACTAATTTGAGAGCCTCATATAACTTAGAATTGGAAGCAAACTTCTTCTGGGGGAAAACATCATTTTCAGTAGAAACAAAATAATTAAGAAGTAGTTAAATTTCCTTCTAGTTGCTGTTGGAATCTTTTTGGTGGTTTCAAGTTTCTTTGAGTAATTTCATATGCATGAAGATTGTCACGGAATCTTTATCTTTTGAAAGTCTTAAAGGTGTCTTGAATTCTTTAAAATGAAGGGAGTATCCTGGGGCATTCTATATGTAGAATGCTCTTTGCAAATCTTTATGTGTTAGTAATTAAAAGTAATTTTAATAGGTAATACATTCTCATCGTTCAGAAATCAGTGTGGTGTAAGAAGATATTCAGTGGAAAAAAATCTCAGCTCCATCCTTGCCCTCAGTGCTCTATTTATACCTTCGCTATACCCAACCATTTTTCTTAGTTTCTTTTTCATACTGCTAGAATTTTAAAGTGAAAATATAAGTACATATTAATAATTATCACCTCCTTACCACACAAGATAACACACCGTACACACTGTTTTATACATTAACACTGTACTTGGATATCTTTTCACAGAGAGCTCTACAATTCTTTTTTTGTCCCCCCTGGGTGAGCTTTATTGAGGACCACATATAGTGAATTGCATTCAATTTAAGTATATATTTGATGAGTTTTGATAGTTTTTTGTATTTGTGAAGGTATCCCAGTAAGATAGAGAATGTTTCCCATGGTTTTTTGTTTGTTGGTTTTGGTTTTTTTTTTGTTTCATAGTATTTTATTGTATAGATATACCATAATTTTTTTAAACCAGTCTTTTGTGTTGAGGACTTGGGTGCTGATATGAATAATTCTACAATTATTCATATAATTGTAGAATTCATATTTTACAATCTTTTTCATATAGTGTTTTTTATGTAGGCAGGTAAGTCTGAAGGTAGATTCCCAGATTGGGGATTGCTGAGCCAAAGGAGAAGTAAATAGATTTGGTAGTTATTGCCAATTTGCCCTTCATAGGCTTGGTACCAGTTTGGGCTCCCATGAGCAATGTCTGAGGGTGCCTATTTGCCCAGTCTGTTAACAAAGTATATTATGAAACTTTGGATTTTTGCTATTAAGTGGAAAATGGTATTTTAATATAGTTTTAACTTGGAAGTTTTCTTGTGAGTGAAAGGGAGCAATTTTTGTATGTTAAAGGATGGGCCATTCATAGTATTTACTTTTCTCTAAAATATCTATTTATATTCTTTGCTCATTTTCCTATTGGATTTTGTTTTTTTGTTTCTGTTAATTTCTAGGGACTCTTTTTAGGAAGATTAGCTCTTTCTTTACAAATACCTTTTTCTCTGATTGTTTGCTTTTGACACTGCAAGAATTCAGTTGAAGGGTATGTGCCTGAGTTTTTGCTACTCTGGATATCTTCCTAACAGTTGCTTAGCTTTGATTAGGTTTGATTTATTTCCTTTATTCCTTTCTTCCTTTCTTCTCTCTGTCTTTTCCTCCTTCTTTCTTTCCCACCATAACTTCTTAAAAAAAGAATTTGTGACAGCTTGAAGATGCTTTTTTGTTGCACAATAATCGATTCAGTGGGTGTATGTTGTTAAATGATTTTAATATATGTGACCCTGGCTCATCTCTCTTGAAGGCAATGTTTTTGGTATATTGCGCATTGGAGAAAGAACCTGTGCCAATGTCCTTGCCTCCTGCCTTGGTGCCACCTTCTAAGAGAAAAACGGTCAGTATATCAGGCTCTGTGCAGTTGGTCCCCTCTTCAGCACCAGCCAAGGAACCTTACCACTCCTTACCACCTGTAGGCATTTTACCTACCAAAGCACCATTAAGACAGGTATAGATCTATCAGTGTTAAAGGACTTTTTTTTAAAAATGCATGGCATTTAACAGTTGATTGCTTGATGAAGACAGAAGGAACAATCAAAGGGATCAAAGATTTAGAGCACCCTATGGTTAAACCTGCATAATATGATGTCATGGAGTAGACAGATAATCCTTCTCCTGCATTTGGCCTTACTTAGATCATATGGATATTTTATTGGCTTTGCCTTGATCTACCTGGAATTAAAGTTGGAGACAGAAGATACTCCATGCTAATCTGGCATGCTTGCCTGGGCACAGTTAATAGATGTTTTTGTTTTTATAATCCTCAGTTAACTCTTGATTCTTTGGGATCAAATTATCCAATTTTGGGTTGTCTAAGGCCTTTTTTTCCCTCCAGCCTGCTGTTTATCAGGCTAAGTAAAGGAAAATAATGACAGCATATGCAAATTAGCCAGTTCAGCTACAGTTAAGAATGCTGAATGAAATTATAAAAAAATGGAGATTGAGAATTAACTGAATATTTGTTTATACAGATTTTCTTAGTTACCCATATTAATGTGGTCATTCATAAGTCAAGAGTTAACTATGCTTGAATTTACTCATTATTTTTAAGTAAATTATTTTTTAAGTAAATTACCTTTAGGAAAAAAGTAGAAGGGGCATCTGTAAATGTAGTTCCCTAGCTGACCTAGATTTTTCTTCTGTAATTTTCTTTTCACCACAGCATTTCGATTAGGATGTGATGAAAATGGTAGATGGTTGTTATGGTTAGTGGGGTAGAGTTGCTCACAGTTTTTACAGATACTGTCATGGGTTGAAAGAATGACACTTCAAAGTTTGTTTCATTCTGACAGAAATTATATACATATATATGTGTGTGTGTGTATATATATATATGTATATATGTGTATATATATATATACATACATGGTTTTGCTTTTTTTCCCCTGTAGTGGGTTGTATCCCCTGCAGAAAAGGCTAAATATGATGAGATCTTCTTGAAAACTGATAAAGATATGGATGGATTTGTGTCTGGATTGGAAGTCCGTGAAATCTTCCTGAAGACAGGTTTACCTTCTACCTTACTAGCCCATATTTGGTAAGATTTTATTTAAATTGATTTAAAAAATAAGGTTTTTATAACTCTAGTTTTGTCCATTCTTATTTTTAGACATTTATAAATTGGACAGTTTTGTTTCAGAATTCTTTATAGAGAAAATTTAAATCTGAAGATTTCTTTTGGATAATGTACAAAAGCTTGAGAATGGATTACCTGTTTTATAAGATTGTCAGTTAATGATTACTAGAATGTTTAAATGCAACATCTATTTATATCAATTAAAGTTAATTTTTTTAATGTTTATTATTTATTTTTGAGAGAGAGAGAGAGAGTGTGTGTGTGTGTGAGTGGAGGGAGGGGCAAAGAGAGAGGGAGATGCAGAATCCGAAGCTGTGAGCTGTCCATATGGAGCCTGATGTGGGGCTTGAACCCACAAACTGTGAGATCATGACCTTAGCCAAAGTTGGATGCTTAACCGACTAAGCCATCCAGGTGCCCCTAAACTTAAATTTTTAACGGAGAATCCAAAAATCTGAAATTTAAGCAATATAAAAAACAGTATCTTCAAGGTGTGCTCACATAATTCTGTAGGGTATATGTATACTTTTATATCGTTACATAGAAATTACACACTTAGTCCTTAAAAAAGATGAGCTTTAGTGTTGCTAGTGAATTTCACATTAAATGAGACCATGCATATGAACATTTATAGTGTATCAGCTGCCAATCCACCTGACTATACCAGAGGTTATCTTGAGGTTTTCTAGGGGCACAAATATCAGATGTGGAACCACATAGCTGCAAAGAGAAACTTAGAAAAGAACAAAGGAGGACAGTAGATCTGCCTTAAAAGGAACAAGAACTCAAGACTAGGAAAGATTAAATGTGTATAACTAATAATAGCTGCCACTTTCAAGTGGCTAGGCTAGGCAGTGTATGTAATAAATGGCAGCTGTCATGGGCTTGGTTGTTGGCATCATGCCCAGACTTTTTATGTACTTAGCCTTTACTTCTCACTGTAACCTTCCAGGATATGTGTTTTCTCTACTTATAGATGAAGAATCTAAGTCTTGAAGAGGTTAAAAAAAATTGTCCAAGGTCACAAGAAGAAATAAGTAGAGAAGCTGGAATTCAGGGTTTCTTTGACACCTTAGCCCACAGTCTGTTCATCAAGGCCACATTGCCTTTAAATGAACGAAATGGATCAGAACTTCAGAAAGCTGAGCTTAACAAAAAGTGAAAAAAGAAAGGAAGAAAGAAAAAGAAAACTAGGATAAATCATTTGCTGTTTCTCTTTAAGTGATTTTGTAAAGCTTTCCAGATTGCTGCCTTCTCTTCACATGTGAACTCCATTTGCAGCTGTTGTTTCTGCTTTGACTTGGTGATCCTTATATCCGCCTACTCCCAAGAGTTGCAGGAGGCAAGCCAACATGGAAATTTTTTCTTGTTTTAGAATCATTCTCCTGCCACTAATGAACCAAATTTGTCGAAACTTAGGTTTCATTTTTAACATCTTTTAATACTGAGAACGTTGGGATTCTTTGGCCCACTACAACTCTTACCCTGTAGTGGTTCTGGAAATTGGTAAGAAAGCACAAAGCAGGGGCGCCTGGGTGGCTTAGTCGGTTAAGCGTCCGACTTTCGCTTAGGTCATGATCTCGCAGTTCGTGGGTTCGAGCCCCGCGTCGGGCTCTGTGCTGACTGCCAGCTCAGAGCCTGGAGCCTGTTTCAGTCTGTGACTCCCTCTCTCTCTGACCCTCCCCTGCTCACGCTGTCTCTCTCTCTCTCTCCTAGAAATAAATTTAAAAAAAAACATTAAAAAAAAAAAAAAAAAAAAAGAAAGCACAAAGCAAACTCAGATAAGAGACCCCTGCTCAGCACGAGGGTGAATGTTCTCTTTCTCTTAAAACCATTTTAGCTGATCTCGCTCTTCTAACATTTGTGTGAATTTTGGGCAAGCCATACACACAAAAAAGTATGACTTTCTTTTTTAATTCAACTGATCATTTTTAAAAAGCTACTGAGTCCTATTACTTTTATCCTGGATTTTTAGAATGGTAGCTGTAGCATTTATATTCTGTTTGTTTTGTTTATTTGTACAGGACATTATGTGACACAAAGGACTGTGGGAAGCTTTCAAAGGATCAGTTTGCATTGGCTTTTCACTTAATCAACCAAAAGTTAATAAAGGGCATTGATCCTCCTCACATTCTTACTCCTGAGATGGTTCCACCATCAGACAGGGCCAGTTTACAGAAGGTAAGACAACTTAAAAGAAAACCTGAATGTATTAACAGGAAGGAACAAGTTCTGTGTTAGATGACAGACTTGATTTGTAGGAAATAGTGGAGAAAATGTATCTGGCTAGGAGCAGAGCATTTTACTGTTTGTGGTTTAGTTTTTGTCTAAAAATATGTTCAAATGCCTTGTATGACATCCTTGGGCTGCAGATCGTTTACCCTAACATTTATTACACATATGGCAACCATATTTTTGAATCTAAAAATTGGGAAAATGTGGTCTTTTTTTTACTCCTTTTGGGTTTGTGAATTAATTTTTATGAATAAGGTATAAAATTTAAGTGAAATCAGTAGGAATTATTGTGTTTCATTTGATGATTCACTCTTACAGAAAATACAAATTTGAAAACAAAATCTGGGAGATTATTATTTCTTGATGTCAGCTTTATATATAAACAAGAAGAACATCATGTTGAGAAGAAATCTGTGTGGTTTTTGCCACGTAGATGACCTTCTTTTCCTGAGGATATGGCCAGAATTTCATATCTGAACAGCTAGAAGCAGGTTTTAGCCAGGCTTCTGGCCAGCAGTGGGAATTTTCAAAACTACATTGTTTTAGCCATGCTGTGCCTTGATTTTTCTCTCTTCCTCTAGAAATCCTTTCTAGCATAGTATATTTACAATATCTTGGCCTTAATAGAGCTTAAAAGGATTTATATTGTCTAGTGGCTATTTGCCTTTAAGAATATGTACTTTGTGTCTTTAAATCTCTTGTGACCTATAAAATAATTACTTCTGTGGTTATTTCTTAGAGTTAGATATAGTAAGAGTGGTCAAATGTGTGGTGTAAGGAGAGCTGTCTTTGAAATGTCAGGAGAATATTTTAGTTTACATTCATTTTGCCATATAGGTTTAAAAAATCCCATTTTAACCTAGTAAAAGTCAAACTTGGATTTTTCCCCTGAAGTCAACTAAATGGAAATTTATAGCCACCAGGTACAGAAGTTAATTCTAAGAGTTTTGTTCTATTTTAAGATAAACATTTGGTAATCTGTTTTGTGAGTTTGCGGAGGGTGGAGCGGCACATTTTTGTGAAGTTTTTGAGATTTCTTGTGATGTAGGATAAGGGTTCCCCAAATTGTAGAGAAAGTTCAAGTGAAGCCACCCAGAAAGATAAAGGTTACAAATTTGTATGTGTGCTCTCTGCAATACCTGTATTTCAGTTGTTTCTTCCTTTTATTCACCTATGCAGACTGTGTTTTACCTTCATTGTTTACCACCTTCATTTTATATCCACTAAGTCTCTCACCAATACAAATTATAGAGAATGACAGAACTTTCTGAAATTATGTTTATTAAGTCTCTATAACATTAGGTAGACACTGCAGGTTGCATCTGCTTTACAGAGTTTTTAATAGATTTGTCTGAAGTCCATTTACAAGACCATAGATACCTTTGTCTATTTACGTCAGATATCAGTATTACACTTTAAAATGAGATTTTATCACTATTATCTATTAACCAAAATTTTTAACCTAAATAGTAAAAAATTGCATTTGTTTTGTCTCTTGAATAATCTTTCTCTTTATAATCTAATTTTCTTAGAACTGCATTTTTTTTTTTTTTTTTTTTTTTTTGCAGCTTTGACTAACCTTTTTTTGAATATTGCTTTCTGTGTTTTTTCTAGTTTGGACTATTTTTTCCCTTCTGCAGCCCTCTGCTTTTCGCCTTTCTTGTACTATCAGTTTCTTTGCTCTCTCAAGGTTAGAGCTTTACTTTATGCCTTTTTTAGCATTACAGTTTTTGCTTTACAATTTGGAAATTAGAGGCTTTTTAAGTGGCAAAATTGATGCAGAAAAAAATACTTAAACAGCATGATTTTGTCACATGTCTGTCACTTGGTCCTTGTATGCATTTTAGCTTACCTTCCTTAGGCTCTTTGACCCACTTAAAATCACCAAAGTGGAATTTTTGTGTAATGCACAAATAAGGTGAGAGAAAATATTTTGAAAGAAGGGGACATGCTACATTTTTCTTAATATACCTTTCTTAAACTTTAGTTACTGTTAGCTGAACTTTTTCCATGTTTCTGGTTGTATGCCATTTTACGACTTTAGAATGGGAGTTTAATTTCTGTGTTAGTAATTGAGGGGTGACGCAAGCTACAGTACACTAATCTTCCTTCTAGAGTCATCTGTGGTTTCACCTTCTAACTTGTTTGAGGTTAAATTTACTTGTCTCATTCTTCTTATTTGATGATATTTTTAATAGTGAAAGACTGTCAACCACTTTTTTTTTAGTTAAGAGTGACAGAAGAGGTGTGGAAGTCATGAGTTTCTTGGTATACTTGCACCTTTCATTGCACATTTCTCAGTAGCATTTGGGTGATGTAAGTTACTTTTGGTGGTAAAAGTGAGATCAGGTGTTAATTTTTCATTTTGCTCAACTGTCAAACTGTCTGGCCAGGTAACTTAGCTCATCAGTCAAATTTAGACAAGTTTAAAATCCTAGTGAATACCTGTCACATTCAAAAATTAAAATTCCTAATTTAATTTAGGATGATAAGGGTCTGTATATTAGTGAAAAACAGTAAAACAATAAGAGGTGCATTTGATTAAAATCTGTAGTCAATATGAAATTGAGACTAGCATTAGTTGAATCCTAATAGATGAATTTTGGTATTGATAGACAAAACAAAACATCTGAAGACTAGTAATGCAGCATAGTGCTGAAAGAAATGGAAGGATTATTTGCCACATTTTATTGGCATACTGTTTATCACATTGACTTTTAGGGTAATGGTTTTATTTACCTTAAATTATCTTGATATGTAAGTGCCAAGGAGCATAGCGTGAAATAGACTTGAATTTAATCAGAGGTCTCCTAATCAATAGGTCCTTTTGAGCTGAGCTCAACTTTAAGCAAATCATTTAATCTGATTCCCTAGCTCTAAAATTGGATTAATAATAATTGTTACAACCCAGTTTTCAGGTTAGTTTTGAAAATTGATTAATGGATTTGAACGTGCTTATTAGTAAATTGTAAATCATCATATAAATGTGAGGGGGTGGGATATTGTGAACTTTTAGGTTTCTTCTTCTGTGGTCCAAGTTGGTGACATATATTAAATTCACAGCAACCTAAGTATTAATACCATTTTATGTTCTGCAAATAAGGTCCTCAGTGTATTTTAGTTTTACACGTTAAAGCCTCAATTTTAACATTTCTTAATGGTGATTATTCTGTCATTTGTCAGTGTGGTTGTAGCACTGGGAGGTAGGTCAGGTGTTTGAGGAAGCAGTTACCTTCTTGCCCTGACTTCAACCAGCTATAGAAGGCATCAGAAATGGCTCACAAAGGAATTGAGCCAGGGTGGAAACAACTCATTGGAAGGTCATCCGTCTTAAGAACATATTCTGTTGGAGGAAATTAATTATAATAATACCTTGCATTTATAAAATGTTATGATGTTTTAGAGTGACTTTACATACAATATTTATTTCACTTAATTTTTTTTTTTTGATGATCCTATTGGATTTTTTTANTTTCTAGGAGAGAGAGAGAGAGAGAGAGAGAGACAGCGTGAGCAGGGGAGGGTCAGAGAGAGAGAGAGTCACAGATTGAAACAGGCTCCAGGCTCTGAGCTGGCAGTCAGCACAGAGCCCGACGCGGGGCTCGAATCCACAAACTGCGAGATCATGACCCAAGCGAAAGTCGGACGCTTAACCGACTAAGCCACCCAGGCGCCCCTATTTCACTTAATTTTTAAAGTGAGCAGGGAAGAGATTATTTCCCTATTTTATAGTAAAGCTCATGCAGCTAGTAAGATGGCAGATCCCAGAATAAATACAACTAGATTTTCTAAATACAGGTACCTTTCAGAGACCAATTTTGACATTTTCATTACTGAAAGAAAACCATATGTAAAGGGTGTCATATATGGAGATAGTTTCATATGGTGATATTAATATTTACTATGGAACACGCTGAGCAGCTGGTTTTACTTTAATTAGGGTAGGCACTAAGATTGTTTAACAAAAGTACATGTTGAACTGAATAAAATCAACTACTGTTACATTTCTGAGATTTACCAAAATTTGTTTACTTTGTGCCAGATGACACAAGTACCAATAAAGCCACCCTACCTCTCCGCAAGAAATGTATTCTTCAGTGGAGGAATTAGTTTATAAATCTGATATCTGCTTTGCTCAGTGTTGTTTTTTTTTTAATGTTTTTATTTATTTCTGAGAGCATGAGACAGCGTGAGCAGGGAAGGGTCAGAGAGAGAGGGAGATACAGAATCTAAAGCAGGCTCCAGGCCCTGAGCTAGCTGTCAGCACAGAGCCCAACGTGGGGCTCGAACCCATAAACTGTAAGATCATGATCTGAGCCAAAGTCAGACTCTTAACCTACTGAACCACCCAGGCACCCCTACTTCAGTGTTTTAAACAGGTGCTAGGATCAAGTGACAAAGACTTTAGGGTCTGAAGTGGTGTTATCTATTTTAGAGCAACAGCTTTTAGAGGATTTAAGGGAAAATGTCTTAGTATACAACTGTATGTGTATGTTTGTGTATATAAAATTGCACTAGATATGATTTTCTTAAATTAAAAGTATTAGTAGTACTATAAGGTACGGAGTAGTCTGATCCATGCAGTGCTTTTAAACATTTTTAGTGCTTCACCGTATATAATTTTATAGTAATAACATTATAATTGTGAACCTCTTGTTTTTAGAACATTATAGGATCAAGTCCTGTTGCAGATTTCTCTGCTATTAAGGAGCTAGATACCCTTAACAATGAAATCGTTGACCTACAGAGGTATGTAAATTAAAATTAAAGTTGACTGTATAAACATACACACACACACACACTTTTCTGTTTCTAATCTATATCTTGGTAAATGCTACTTTATTTAATCATTCTTGAATTGGGAATCTGTGAACCTTGTTAGGTTTTAGGTTGTGGTCACATTGTATAAATGTGTGAAACACTTATACATGATTTGGCATTTGTGAAAATATTTTTCCTAGGTTTTTATTTTAGGTGAGATCTGCAATGTAGGCAAACTTCCATCATCTGTCAACTCCAGTAATGTCATAATGAGACTCATCAACCCATGCTAAAATAATGGTTGTTTAAATTCACTTTTGTAAATGGTTGTATTAGGTCACTATATCACCAACTCTTCAAGGTACTACATTATAAATCTTGGTTTTTATTATCGTGAGTAACATTTTTTTCTGTTCCATACTACTACTTTTCAGATTTTAAATTGTTTATTAATATATCAGGATGTAATTAGTATAACTATAAAACAGGAAAAAGGAATTTAAACAAATTTTGTTTATGGCTTTTACTAAATTGCTATCTGACAAAAGACTGGCCCCTTCTTATTTGTTGGTTAGATGAAGATACTTAATTTTAGTGCAGGGACCGATCCTGCAAATAAACAATACATAATATGGAATTGTAATGAGTATATAATGAATATGGTGCTTTACAAATTTATTTTTTCCCTCTCAATGATGATTATATTGCATACTTATAAACAGTTTGAAAATACAGAAAAGCATAATGAAGAAAAAAGACTATGTTTCTTAGAATAATAATTTGTTTTGAGCATTGAAAATCAAAGTAGATAAGAAAAGCTGTATATAACCTCAAGAGTTAGTTGGGTAAAGAGTGTTGTTATTAGTCAGAAAATGAGACATTTCTATATATCACAAAGTTGTTTCTATTTGAAAATATAAGACATTAAGAGCTTGAGGCAGGACGTCTTTTGTCATTAAAAAAAGTTTTTTAAATATAATTCCTTCAACATTTTTTATATAGGTATTTAATTATGTCAATCAGATTAAATTAGCATGATATTTTTAACTTAATGAAGGAAAAGCAATAGTTATAATATCAGGGCAGTGGTGCTGGGAGCCTCGCAGGCACAGTGCCATTACTTGGAGCCTGTGGAGGCAGCAACATAGTGCTAAGTGCATACTGAGCCTTAGCAGCAGCAGCAGAGGCAGAGGCACCCCCACCCACCCTTCTACCCCCTGTGCTGGTGCAGCCACCCTTGCTCCCTCTATTCTTTGTCCCTTCGTTTATCTCATGGCTGATCAACAGACTGAAGAACAGATTGCTGAGTTCAAGGAAGCTTTCTCTCTATTTGACAAAGATGGTGATGGTACCATCACAACAAAGGAACTTGGAACTGGGCCAGAACCCAACAGAAGCCACATTGCAGAATGTGATCAAAAACGTGGAGGCAGACGGTAATGGCACCATTGACTTCCCAGAATTTTTTTGCTATGATGGCTAGAAAAATGAAAGATACAAACAGTGAAGAAGAAACTGGCGAGGCATTATAAGTCTTTGACAAGGATGACAGTGGTTACATCTGTGCAGCAGAACTGTGTCATGTCATGACCAACTTGGGAGAAAAACCAGCAGATGAAGAAGTAGATGAAATGATCAGAGAAACAAATATAGATGAAGATGGACAAGTCAACTATGAAGGATTGTATAGATAATGACTGTAAGATGAAGATCTACTTTTTATTCCTTCTACCTACCTCTCCCTGGAAGAATGAAATAGAATCTTTTACCTACCTCTTGGGAAAACAGACAAACAAAAAACAAATTCATTCACTCATTCTGTTTCTATATAACAAAACCTTCAAAAGTACCTTATGTCCATACACACAAAATCTTCATGTATTGCCTGGTGGTCCTTTCCCCTAAAGATCAAGCTACTCATTAGTTTTATAGTATAAATGCTTCTATTACATTAATGATAAGGAAGCACTTAGTGGACTCCTTGCAGTTCCATTGTTAATGATTCATACACTGTTTGGGCTGGCCAGCTTTTCACGCATACGACTTGACAGTGGAGTACAGTGAAACCTTTGTATGAAAAATGAAAAAACAAATTTAAAACCTTTTCAGATAGGTTCAAGTTCAGTTTGTGAGTATAAATTGTCATAACTGGTTTATTCAAAACTAACAGTTAAAATTGGTTTATGTCAGGATGCTGTGCAGAAAAATGGGTAAAGGATAAACTATTTAGATGTAGCTTCACTTTGCAGGATTATCCTCTTGTACTTCCATGTGCCCTGACCCATGGTGACAATGACACACATCCTGGTGGCATGCTGTGTATATTGGTTTAGTGTTATCCATATTGCACTAGAGCTGTCCCCATTCACACAAAGTTTTAAAAAGAAACCTTTACTCTCTGTTTTTAAGACCTTCTGAACCATGACTTGGCATCAGCAGAGTAGGCTGTAACTGTGGACTTCAGCACAACCATCAACAGCTGTTCAAGTAACTTTGTGTCCCTTCCAAGTTGTAAATGTTATTCTTTTTTTCCCAATAAAAAGATCATTGATCTAAAAAAAAAATAGCTATAATACCATAATCTTTTCAAATACCTGGATCTCCCACCTGAGCCCAAGACCTATATTTTCATTTGCCTACTAGAGAATATCCAGTAGGACATGACTTCCTAATCTTCCCCTAATCACTATCCTTGTCTCGTTTATTTGCCTTTCTCAGTGACATCACCATTCATCTAGTCACTCAGACTAGAAATCTGAGATTTTTCTTCCTCTTTATTCTTCTATCTTTGAAATGTTTCTTGAAATCATTCCTACCTTTCTATCTCCTTTGCCTGGTCACCTCCTCCTGATCTTTCAAATCTCACCTTAGACATCACTTCCTCTGGAAAGGGGGCCCTTCTCTGACTTGTTTACCTTCCAACCCTCATACTTATCAAATCTTACATAGTTATAGTATTTACGGTAGTTATAGCATTTGCCATACTTTATTATAATTGTTTTATTTGGATCTCTCACTAGCCTGTGTATTCTTTTTTGAGAGAGAGAGAGGGAGAAATAGAGAGGGAGAGGGCACAAGTGAGCAAGGGGCAAAGAGTGAGAAGTGGAGCACAAGCTCTCCTGAATCAGGGCTTGAGCTCACCCAGTGTGGGACTTGAACTGACAAACTGAGAGATCATGACTTCAGTGCTTAACACCTCAGCCACCACGACGCCCTAGCCTATGTATTTTTAAGCATAAGGACTATTTGCTTGTTCACTGTTCTATCCCTAATGCTTAGCTTATGTAACAGATAAGAAAATAATTTTCAGTATTGTTGAAATCTGTCCTGTCTGTACTATTGCTTCTTAGTTTTACTAACCCTTAATCTCTTCTCTGGATTACTATTTTAACCTCCTAATTGATTCTGTGCTTTGAGTCTCTCCTTCCTTCCTTTGCACCTCTAACTGATGTATAAAATACAACTCAGATCCCTTAGCGACTTCTTATTCCCAATTGGATCCAGCTCACTTTTCTGAGAATGGCATAAGAGCTCTTATTTCAGATGCACCTCAGTGGCTTAGTCAGTTAAGCATCCGACTTCTGTCAGCACAGAGCTCACTTTGGATCTTCTGTCTCCCTCTCTCTCTGCCCAACCTCTCCCCCCAAATAAATAAACATTAAAAAATAAACAGTTCGTTTTTCATGCTTTCCTTTTATACCCTGACCATTCTTCTGTTTTAGCCATCTCCAGCAGTAAAGTAGAATCCTTTCCTTTGACACCATCAAGCTCCTTGAGAGCAGACACTGTGTTTGCTCTTGTACTCTCAATGTTGAGCATAGTGCTCTACATTTTAGCTTCTTTCCTCTTCTCCAGTCATGTGGTGAGTGGACCTCTCAGGTCAACATGCCACATGTCTTTATTCTTCTGTGCCTCTCATACTGTTGTTTCCCTTTGCCTGAGCTTTTACCTTGTAAACTTATGCTTCAAGACCCAGCTTAAATATCTGCTTTGTCAAACCACTGAAATCTGGATTGCTAATTACTTTTATTCTTCCTATTTCTAGAAACTTTATTCCTTTGTAATAGTACTTACCATATTTTATTGTGGTCCTTTGTTGTTGTTTTTTTCCCCCTTGATTTGAATTCCTTCAGGGCAGGGGCTATGTCTTATTTACTTGGATTGGTCTAGAAGTTTAGGCATACAGTATCTGACATCAGAGAATCTCATTATAGGTTAGAAGATTGAGTGAATAAATCAAAGTATGTTATGAATATTAGAATATTTCCCAGATTTAATTCCTGCCAAGTTTATGACAGACTAGAAGCCATATACTAAAGGATGAAAAGACAAAAGATCTTAGAATCATGCCTTACTTTGAAGACTGTAGAAGAGGATTTTATAGACAAAAGGATTTTTAATCCTCACAGGGACATTAAGGTTATTGGGCTGATGTTTCATATTTTGAAAACCTGTTTTTATGTCAGGGATTTCCTTTGAAAATCTGATGAAGGTTTTTAGATTCTGTCCCCCACCCCACAAAGAACATGTGTATTCGTGTACACCATTTTGCATTTATTTCAGGAGTTCCCAGACCCTTGAAAACTATCTATGGATCCAGTTTTAAGAACCTTTGCTCTGAATGTAATACTGTGTCTCAAATAGAGAAGTTCTTGACTGTGAAAAGTCAGAATTTGCTTCAGTCACTAAGCATGGTGGTGGTGAATTGTGCTGAGGCAGAAGTTAATATTTATTTGTCTTCTATCAGCTTCTACTTCCTTCCTGTCTCTGTCCTTTTAGCAAGAACATCAGGAAGTAAAAGCTACATCCTGTCAGGCCAGTTTGTTATCCTAGTTTGGGGCCAGTAAACAGGATAGGTAATTATAATGATAGTCATTATGTATTGTGTTATGCCTGCTTTATGTAATTTCTCTAATTCAGTTCTTACAATATCACTAACAGGTAAGCAGTTTTATCCTGATTTTTCAGATGAAGAATACCTAAGTTTTGTGGTTTTTTTTGTTTTTTTTTTTTAAATATTTTTTTATTTATTTCTAGGAGAGAGAGAGAGACAGCGTGAGCAGGGGAGGGTCAGAGAGAGAGGGAGACACAGACTCTGAAATAGGCTCCAGGCTCTGAGCTGGCAGTCAGCACAGAGCCCGACGCGGGGCTCGAACCCACGAACCGTGAGATCATGACCTAAGTGAAAGTCGGACGCTTAACCGACTAAGCCACCCAGGTGCCCCAAGAATACCTAAATCTTGTTTTCTAAGATGCTTTCCTTGATATCTACCTCAGCTTGGAGAGCATTCAATTTCCTTCTCTCAGAACACTTACAATACTGAATTATATTTCTTTCTCCAGTAGATTGTGAGCTATGTGTGATAGCAGAGACTCTCTTATTTCTAATGAGGCAACATAGTATATTATTTCAGAGCATGGCTTTCTAACTAGATTGTGTAGTTTGACCTCTGACATGACTTAGCTGAGTAACTTAGCTGTCTGTGCCTCAGTTTCTTCATCTGTCAAATGGAAATATGACTAATACCATGTAAAATGCTTAATACCTTTATTGGAATGTGATAAACTCAGTACATGTTTATAGTTATCATCATCATCCCCAATACCCAGCTCAGCACTTAAAGCACAACATTTACTGAATAGGAACTCCACAAACATTGGTTGGAGTAGCTGAAGGAACACTCTCTTTCTCTGGATGAAGAGAGACTAGAACTTTGTGGTCAGGTAGCCAGAACCTGTGTTCCTAAGTATGTAGATCTCTATCTCAATCATGTTAAAGAACTGATTTTTAAAAAACCTATCTAAGGGGTGCCTGCATGGCTCAGTCGGTTAAGTGTTGCACTTCTGCTCAGGTCATGATCTCACGGTTCGTGGGTTCGAGCTCCGCGTCCGGCTCGGCTCTGTGCTGACAGCTAGCTCAGAGCCTGGAGCCTGTTTCAGATTCTGTGTCTCCCTCTATCTCTGACCCTCCCCTGCTCACGCTGTTTCTCTCTCTCTCTCTCTCTCTCTCTCTCTCTCAGAAATAAATAAAAACATTAAAAAAATTTTTTTAAAAACCTATTTAAGGCAGTGTTAACATACAGTTTGAATTTTTTAAAAAAATTGTTTTTGGTTTAGTTAAGTTTAAATACCATTAAGAACCATTAGC